AGCGCTCACCTATTCATGGTATAGTAGGAGCTCTTGCTCGTCGCTTGACAAGCAGTTGAAATTTGGTCCTCTGTATGGACATGCTTATTCTCCTGAGAGCCCGACGGACTAAACCATTTTCCACTAAGTTATTCTAGCAGTGATGCTACGTGAGTAAAATTTATTTTCTACTGTTGGTAACTGGAGTGACATTGACACAAACACTCAGGGTCATGTTTGCTTCACCAACTAAAAAACACCGTGAGTCCAAATTGAACATAATGTAGCAGTAAGGCTAAGCTACTCGTGGGCTAGGTTACGGAGGTACGCACGCTCTTATGGATACATCGTATATCATCAGACCATGTTGCTTACCTAATGGTGAGTTTCATGTCGGGGCACAAGCGGGCTAGCACGGCAAGACTCCACGAGCAATCGCTATCCCAATCTCCACTCTGCTACGTCAAGCGGTCACAGCAGTTCTCGCACACAGGCGCAGTGGCAATGGCTCAGATCTTTTTGGTTCACTTGGTGACTTGGTGTCGATCAGAATCATCACCAGGTAGGGGCATCGGATGGAGAGATCCTAAGCGGATACTCGCGGATTGGAATCAAGAGGTGGTGGTACACCTGGATCCTTGATCATATATATCAATCCGGCCGTCCTCCGTGCTTCAAGTAACCACCTCTGCGCACATCATCATACTTAGTTGCCTTTGGGTTGAACCCTTCAGGCTCCTGTGGGCCTATCGGTCTGCCGCCGCTACTCCCCCCCAGCATCGACCGTGGTACACGTCGGCGCTAAAGAGGCGGCCGGTAGGAACCACACAATACGGGTCGAATCTCCTCCTCCCTAGGTTAGACCACGGAGGGATCTAAACCTACAGGAGAAACTCTACCATCTCGGGCCGATGTCGATCTTGAAGGGAGAGACTCGCTTCCAAAGTTAGACCCACGGAGAGGGAGTTAAAACCTAGCGAATGAAGGAGTCCCCCGATGTTCTGGAGTCGACGTGGAAGGTGACATTCTTGTATCTCTTGGCCCACCCACCTTGCACCCACCAATGAATCGGCGACCGATGATGATGACGCGCAGGGAAGGTCCTCTGGAGGCGAGGTAGATCCTGGTGTTCCCCGCCGCTGTCCACCTCCGCGCCACAATAACACAGCCATGAATGGTCCACGCACAACAAGATGTATGTATGTATGTATGTATGTATGTTGTATGTCATAATGTATGTATGTATGTATGCATGTATGTAGTCCATTATTCCCCCTTCACGAAGGAAGGCCATAACTTGAACTGAGACGGGGGTGTCGAAGTCTTTTCTTCTCGGACCTTCATTGTTTGCCTTGATGTGGGAATCACATCGTCATCACTAGACTCTAGGCTAGCATGGCTCCATCTCCTCTGTCGAACTCGATTTCGAAAGTTATTACTGTAGTCTACATACACATGATAAATGAGCCGTGACTGGACAACAAATTATTTGTTACGCGCATGCAAGTGCATCGATCGTAGACTACTGTAAAAAGTGCATGTATGTAACAATTATTTCATTTATCTTTTTCCTAGAATCGCAGCATTTTCTCCGGGCCGGGAAACGCTCTCTCGAGCGCTCTCAGGCCACCACGCTTATTCACTTGGTTTCAGAGTGCAGTCCGGACCGTTCGAGCGCTGACAGGCCAGCATTTCGCATTTTGCAGTTTTCGCAATTTCGACGCTCGGAGCGCAGTTCCTTCGGTCCGATGTGCTCTATCGTCCTCTCCAATGTCATTCCGTTCGTCTCTGCCTTCTTTTTTCTCTACCGGTCTCGCTGTCTCGCCGTCCGTCGAGTCGTGAGAGAAGCTCTCTCTCTCTCTTCGGCGCTTTTTCTCTCTCTCCTCTCTCGGAATTAGAATTGAAACCAGAGTCCGAATGGGCGGTACAACTTTATTATTATGGTACCAGGTATATTTATTTTTTCTCCGTTTCTCTCTCTGTCTGTATCTGTGATTCTCTCTCCGTCTCTGTGTCTGTCTGTGTGTCTTTCTCTGCCTTCTCCCTCTCTCATTTGTTTCCTGTCTCTCTTTTTCTGTCTCTCTATCTCCCTCTGTCACACACACAATAATACCTATAATTTTTACACGTGTGTCACACATATTTTGCACGTGTGTGCGGCTCTTTTCTCATATGAATAATATATCTTTATCTTTTCTCATGTGAATATCTTTTTCCGGAATATTTTTCCGGAATCCATCGGCGTTCGGTCAACGGGCGGTGAGGTTCGGTAGATCATCTTCGGGTTTTCGCTCCCGCTCACGCGCGCTCTCGCGCCGTCCGCGCAAGCTCCCACTCCATCCCACACCATTCTCTCGCGCACTCGAGTATGGCGTCGCGCAACATTTTTGCGTCTACTCCGCCCAGCACCAAGCGGAAGACAGCTGACTACACTCTCGGTGAGGTCATCGGCAAGTGCGCCCTCTGCCCGTCAGCCAACGTGACTCGCTGTTGTGCGACCTTCGGAGGCTGTGAAAATTTCGGGACGAAGGGCTGCAAATTCAAGATCAGCATCCTGTCCGCGCCTTCGCCCTGCACAACTTGCCTGTCGGACATCAAGCCCGGCGTCCTCTGCTTGGGCGTACCCAATCCTAACGGCGTCAAGACTAAGTGCGGCAAGCAACGTGCGTGTGATCTATTCCCTTCTCGATTCGTGTTGCGATGTCATTCATGTCTCTGCTTATTTTAGTTCGCTTCGTATTGTCTTCGTATTGTTTGTTTGACTGTGGGCGCGCTTCGTTGTTTTTCCGTAGGCGACTTTGTTTCGGTTTTACTTCGTTGTTTTTCCGTATGCCGCTTATTAAACTACTGCCGCCGCTGCTGTACAGACGTCGAAACACATGTGGAATAGAGCGGTGCGGTGTGGTGTTTTGTCTTGCGTTCAACGTATGCTTTATTACTTTGCGGTCGTCCTTTGTGGTTTTTCTTCCGGGCGGTCCTTCTTCATTTTGCCTCCTCCGCTCTTTCTTCCCTTCTTGTGTCGTTTTCGTTTCATGTTCAGCGTACGTCAACAAACACTACAAGTGGGAGGACTGCTTCGGGCTGAAGATCAAGCTCAGCAGGGGCGGCAAGCAGGCCTTCCGGTTCATCGAGAAGGTTGAGGCCGAGGACGCCAGGATTGGGGTGAGGTTTACTGATGCGTGCTGATTCTTCGTGCATTTTGTTTTTTTTTCTCGCCGCCGACCCGACTGAGTTCAAGGCGAGAGCCATCCTTTCGTCAACCAACGCCACCATAGACACCATTAACGCACACGTCCTTGACATCCTTCCAGGAGACCTTCTCACAGCATGCAGTTGTGACACCGTCGATCCTGACGCGACTGACGATGGTGTGGGTTTCGTTGCCGCAGCTGACCTCCACGCTATTGACGTTTCTGGTGTACCGCCTCATGCCTTGGATTTGAAACTGAATTGCATGGTGATGATCACACGAAACCTCCAAGCAGGGCTTGGTCAATGGTCAGAAGGCTATCGTTCGTGGATACTCAACACGAATTGTGTATGTAGAACTACTAGACGGTCTCTCAACGCTCGTTCTCATCCCACGTATTCGCTTCAAGACTAAAGTCGGCAGCAACGGTATTGCTTTCTCG